AAATTTATATTATTGACTCAAGCTTTCATAGAAATAACACTTTTAAACGAACGCCAATTTGAGAAAAGCCCAGGTTGTTTTTCAACTTGTGGAAGTCAAGAAATGCCAGACAAAGTCTAGAGCGGAATCTGTCCTTGCTTACATAATTATCAGCACCGTCATCCAAGAGCCCCACCCCACCCCCTAGTGGATACAGAACAAATAAAATTTTCGTCCAAATAGCCCTTAGAAGAATTTCCTTGTATAAGTTTCCCCTAGATTAAGCTAGGCGAAAATATTTTGTGTAATGCGCCTAGTTATTAAATATTTATTGATATCAAATGGCAGGCGTCTAGATGGTTATCATTAGCCCTTTAGTTGACTTCAGACTTCACAGAGGAGAAGGAACATCAAATTGAAAAAATGTCGAGAGGGGGGACAGAAGAGTGTTTCAAAGATGTAAGAGACAAACACAAAGGTAGAACAAAGGTGAGGTGAGTACTGTGAAAATAGTCGAATATCGCATAGAGTGAGATGGTGGTAGTTTGAAGTCAGAAGTCAACTGCTAGTTAATAGACTTTTTGCCGTATGAATATACGTTGCCCAGGGTGCACCACGTGGAGGTAAGTCTATCGCACACCCCAGTTATTGAATATAGCTAACACTACACGCATATTGATCGTCTATTGGCTGGAAGCCACTACACTCAAGCTCACGCGTGTTCGATTTGGGATTGGTATCACATATCAAAAGTTTTTGTTGTGAAGTGAAAGAGTGTAAGTAATCTCAAGAAACTAACAATATATCGTTAGACTTAGATATATGAAAGCATACACCTCTTTAAAAGACATCAAAGTAGGTAAGGTGGCTTTGAAAGCATTTTTTGTTTATATGAATGTTTCATTATGATCCTTGATTTTCAAAGTAGAAAGAAATATTAGCAAAAATTAATCTTGCCTATTAAGACGATGAAAAGGAATGAACTTAAAGAAATGGCACTTTTTATCAACTTTATACAGTGGTTACAACTACGAAGACACGTTAATTCTAGTACCGCTGAATTGGCCAAATTGGCAAAAATAGTGAGTTTGTGGAGTGCGTAATTAGACTAAACAAAATCATATGCTCTTGAGCTTTCTGAAACCTGCTCCTATGATGCAGGTCGTGTTAAGGACCAGATGTGGTTAAGAGTGGATGGAATTTTCGACCAATCAGTTACCAACATTCATCACAGGATCCAAAGCAATATTGATGATTAAACTTCGGGTCAGTAACAAACAACTCGAATGAACTTAATTATCATCATAAGCGTGTTTCCACTAGGTCTTTGGGATAGTTTAGCTAATTTTGGGAGCCTTTACATAATATAGGGATCTTGCTGTAGAGATTACTGAGGATAAATCAAGGTTTATTCGAGTAGCAATCCACTACATGATCGATAAATATTTGGATAAAAGAGCTTTTGTCATTTCTCATTGATTGAAAAGCAGAATAAAATGTCATGCGAATCACATCAATGCAGGAGAAAAGTTAACCAAGATTTCGGTTATTTTAAGGCTATCTTTTAGGCTTCATTAATCACGTATGTGCACATAAATTCTTCCACTTTTCCTAAAATTTTGAGTTACAAAATTCGAATGCATTTGTCTAGTAGGTTAACTTGGATTCTCCTTCTTTCTGAAATAACTAGCATGATATTTCATCGCGTGCAAAAATAAAAATAAAACAGCCCTTTATAGTTAATAAGTGGTATTGCTTCCTTATCATAACTATCTTTTATGTAAGAAATCTTAAAAACATAACGCAGTAGATAATTTACATTCTGTTCTAACCTAATGTAATACAAATGAAAATATAAGAGAATTAATCCAATACGTCCGAGCATCACAATAATAAATCGGCAATTATTAGATCCACTATCCAGGTTATTTTTGTTCCGTACGATTTGATTACAAGAATTTTGGTAGTCTACATTTTTGAAATGATAAATCAGTTCCATCTATTAAAAATCCATGTTTTACTCTATGGTTTAGACGCGGTCTTATTGGTAGCTAGGGTAAGGGTTCTATTTTGGGGTCTGGGTGGTTTCAGCATTGGGTATTCACTAAGAATTGACTAAGACGAAAAAAACTTTGGTTAACCTAGTACATTTACAGGTACTTAGCAGTATTGTTTTCGGATAGTATTCAAAAATGGCAAAGACCGCGCTTATTTTGCTGGCACCAGGTGCTGAAGAACTCGAGACAATATCTGTTGCTGATATTCTTGTTCGTGCGAAGGTAGACATTTCATTTAATTCATTTTAAATAAACTGGCTAACTTAGGTTAAAGTGGTCATTGCAGGTGTGTGTGGCCCCGGAGTTGTTGTTTGTAGTCGTGGTATCAAAATTCAGCCCGATGTTGCGCTGTCTGATGTCATTGGCACCGCTTTTGATTTGGTCTACCTTCCCGGTGGCTTGGACGGTATGAAAAACCTCTCTAAAGTACGCATAACTTCTATTCTTAACCTTATCTAGAGCGCAGATGTGGGAAGGTTGCTCAATGAGCAAAACGAAAAGCAGCGCCTCATCGCCGCTATTTGCGCTTCCCCCTGTGCCTTGAAAGCCCACGGAATCGCTAAGGGTTGTAGTGTCACCTGCTACCCCTCAATGAAAGCTGATCTTGAAAGTAAAATTCAATCATAGCCTAACCCTCGACTTCTCTATTTAGAGGACTACAAGTATCACGAGAAAAATATCGTCGAAGACGGACATATTCTGACAAGCCGCGGACCGGGAACAGCCGCTGAGTTCGGCCTTCGATTGGCTGAGCTCTTGACCGACACTGAAACCGCCAAGTCTGTTGCCTGTGGCATGCTTCTTCCCTTCCCTTAGTCTATCCTCCGCTTTCTGTCATCAAAGTTTCACTATCTATTATATTTGTGCCATTTATAATACTACTTCCTATAGTTCAGTTTACCCTCTTTTTTGTTTGCAAGCAATGTAAATAGTGAGATGCCAGAATCCAGCCTTTAATAATGTATTATCCGGAGAGGGAAGATGGGGTAGGTGGAAATCATAGAGAGAGAGGAGCACTAAGGGAGGCCTGAAGGGGTCTTCTCGCCGGAGGGTATAATCTTCATCACCTTACCCACACCGATGGTTTTGCCTTCATCTCGCAGCGTAAAGCGTCCCATTTGCGCGTAATCCTTAAAGCACTCCAGGCAGACGCATCCGTTCAAGGCCTTCAAGGAGAAAAAGGGGCAAATTCAAGTACAAATGTAGAGGGACAAGCATTCTGACCGAGGTCAATTTGAGAGTGGAGAATGAAGCAGACATTTGCTGTAAATTTTGATTAACCAACTTAGTTCACATCATTGCTGCCTGGCAGAAGTTCTAGAACGTCTTCCCTCTCAATCGGGACTTAAAAGTAATTACCTCAGTAGGGAAATACTATAACCGTAGTGATAGTAGAAATGGAGAAGCCTGTGAAAGATAAATCATAAGGATAAATGATTACAAGATAATGCGCATGGCCATCTTAGAAAATATCATTTTAGATGGACAAAATCTATGAGAATTGATTTCAAATAAAAAAAGGAAAAACCAGGCGATTAAAATGAAATTCATAGAAAGAAGAGCATTACCTCAAAACGAACAATCGCGACGTCATCTTGCTTAATAAATCGCGGCCGAATGTCAGTCTTTTCATTGGTCTTACGATCGATGCGACAGAGGATGGAGCGGAAACGAACCTCCTGAATACAAGCGTGGATGTGCATCACAGCTGTGAAACCGGGGCAAATTATTGACTTGTAATCAACAATCACCAATTGAACATCGAATACTTGTGCTACCTAAATGCCAAAGAAGCCCCAAACCAAGTTGCACAATAGAGAAGTAGAGAAGAGGAGTGAGGGGACGAGAGGACTTACGTGACAAAGATTATCGGGAGAGCAGAGGACAAAACCTGGAGAAACATCCTCCTCTTCAACATTCTTTAACTTTAATTTGACATTGTCACCAGCAGCACTTCCCTCAACCTCTATATCGTCCTTCAAAATCTAAAGGGACTTTAGCTAATGATTAAAATTTTACCTGAAGAACTTCCACAGAAACTCGATTAGGCATCATAGTGAGAGTCGTGCCACGAGTAAGACTTCCAGATTCAATTTTGCCTACAACATAGGTTCCCATGTCTTTAAATCGATCAGAGATGGGAATACGGAGAGGTCCATTGGTGCACCGGGATAATGTTGGAAGACTATCGAGATACTCCAGTAGAGGGGGACCCGTATACCAGGAGCAGCGGGCATCGTCGGGTCGGTCTTTCAAGAAAGCACCTGTGAAGCCGGAGCAGGGAATAAAGTAGACATCCGATTTGACATTAAAGCCAATCTTCTTGAGAAATGGAGTAAGTTTATCTTGGCATTCTGTGAATCGTGATTCATCCCAGTTAACCGTCGAATCGTCCATTTTATTTATCAGGACAACCAAATGCTTAACTCCAATGGTCTTAACAAGCATTGCGTGTTCCCGAGTCTGACCGCCGCGTTCGAAACCTGTCTCGAATTCACCCCTACGAGCAGAGATGACAAGAACAGCTATATCTGCAACTGAAGCACCGGTGATCATATTCGGGACAAATGATTTGTGACCCGGTGCATCGACGAGAATGAAATGTTTGTGCTCAGTTTCGAAGTAGGCTCTTCCACACTCCACAGTGATCCCCTTGTTTCTCTCCTCATTACTGGTATCAAGAGCCCAAGAAAGGTACCAGGTTTCACGGTTCTTCTCCTTCGCTTCTTTAGCATATTTTTCAAGGGTTCGGGCGTCAACCATGCCTAAGAATTAAGGACAATTACCGTTATGAGCTCCATACCAGTAAGGTAAAGAATATGACCACCGATTGTAGATTTTCCAGCGTCAACGTGCCCAATGAATACAACACTAAGGGTTTCTTTTTTGTTATTAGGAGGAACATAGGGCTAAGTAATAGTAAATTAAGCGAAGAAAGATGACATACCAATTGTTGGCGTTTCGATTCTGTTAAGGTGGCCGGTTTTTCGGGTTTACCATTTCCTAATATTAGTTAGCGCGGTAAACATCATATTACCTTCTACACCTTCTCCGCTCTCGATGGGCGGAGTTGGTACGGGTTCCTTCACTGGCGGAATATCATCCACAATCTCGGATGGAGCTGACCAGGCTGGTGGAACATTCGCTGCAAAACTAGGGATGAAAGGTGGAGCATCGATGTCAATATTAGATAGATGTACACTGAGGTCATTAGTCTGATCTGTTTCATCCTCCCACGAGGCCATTGCTAGTGAATGTGAAAAATACGCACACCAGTAGAATTTGTGAGGTTATAGTTGATTGGCTAATTAGCAAAAAATAAGCACCTCAATATTACCCGAAATTTTGATGAGGTCTTTTATATAACTAAATAAAAACAATGTAGTTTTAAAAATTATTTATATTTTTTTCAACTCTTCTTTCAAAATCACAAAATTAAGTACATTTAAATATCTTGGCTTCTTAATTGTTACAATAAGTGAAATTGTACGTAATTGTATAACATATTTAAGTCTATAATAGTTACATAAATTATATTAAAAAACTTTATATTCTATTGTTATTCAGAATTCAAGCATATTTTGAATTGACGTAGAAATGTGTAAGGGTTAATTGTGAGTTCGAATGTTAATTTAGATACCATTTATTGGTGACTCGCTATCACAGAATCATTGCCTACGATCCTAAGTGACATCAGTATTTCTGCAGACATTATAGTGATTATTTTTTACTCTCAATTATATTTACAGTATATATCAAACATCCACTGGAAGTCACAATTGGTTAACAGGTGATATAGTCTCCACTGTATACAATGGCGGCGCAGATATTCGTGCGCGTATTTCGCAAATACAATTAGAATGTTGATAATTACCATATATCAATATCGACCCCGATTGCTACAGTCATCGCATGAATATTTAATTTCATTTTAAATGAAAAATAAACATATATGAAACTTCCTATTCGTTTATATAAAATTTAAAAATAACACAGTCTAATTCATTCTTCTGTTTAGGTGTTTAATCTTTTATTAAGTTCATGGGAAAAATATTCGATTCTTTCTTTGATTATAAAAATAATTTTCGATATTTTCTTCGATTAACACGTTTGGATCTCTACAAATAAGCTTCTCCTGGTAAATGGCTACTCCCTCCTTTCCCAGTCAATCTGGCTTTATGTTTTTTATTGAGGGGTGTGTGATGGACTTACCTCCACGTGGAGTACCTTGGGTAATGCGTACTCATACGGAAAAAGTGTATTAACCGGGAATTGACTTCTGACTTCAAATTACCATCACTGTATGTCATATTCGACTACTTCCACAATACTCATCTTACCTTTTCCCTGCCTTTTTGTCTGTCTCTTTCACACCTGTGAATTCCTCTTCTGTTCCCAACCCCTCGATTTTTTTCACTTTGATGTTCCTTCTCCTCTGTGAAGCCTGAAGTCAACTAAAGAGCTGATGATAGCTATTAAAATGACTACCATTTGATATAAATAAATGTTTTTATGGTGAAAAGTTAGGAACGTTAGCATTGAGGTATGCCGAAAGCGAATGAATGAAATTTTAATTGAGTTCAATTCAACTCAAGACGAATGATAATTGGTTATAATTGTTAGGCATTGTTAAAGTCCCGGGTACCTAACCCTATGGAAGACTCGGTTTCTGTCACTTTATTAGTAGTCAAACTTAGCCGATACGATCGGCCATTGCACCTACGGGGTCGAACAGTGACCTCTGAACAAAGTGCCATCGGCATCCATAACCCTTCAATCAAATGGTCAAATTATTCAATCGATCTTAAAATTCCTTGGCTTTGCACACCAAAACGTTTAAATTTGTGGCCTTGATTCGTCCTTTTTCTCTAATTTAACAGCCAAACAGGAGAACTTTTAACTGTAACTCTGTAAAAGGAAAAATGCTATTATCCGGTGGCATGACGGTGATATTTATTCGCTTTTTATTAGCACATAAGTAATGAAAATATACGCACAAATGTAATAGTTGTTATATTTGAAGACTGGCAACAAACTTCTTCATAACTTTACTTTTTCTCTCTCATGATACATTTTAACCAGTGAAACCAAATTAATCTAATTTTCATTAGTCAACGTGCCCAGACTGCGTAAATGCCTTCCTGTCCATAAAAGAGGTCATCTAAGGGAGTGGGGGGTGGGGTGGGGTGGGAAGGGCGGAGGGAATGTGGACTCATCTGGCCCGACTTTGGGTTAGAGCCTAATTAAACTAGATAAGGAAGATAGATGCAATTTAAACAGGTATGGCTGAAACCATTAATATACCCTCAATGAACAAGGAGACCGAGTTCACTGGCCTCGTAAACAGAGATGATAGAATTTTATATTTCTCGACAGAATGGCTACAAGCTTCAGCTCCCATACCCAAGTCAATACGTCATCTAAGACTCTTTCTTTAGTTTAATTTATGATTTTATTGAAAAAAGCTTTTGAATTAAAGGCAATGCAACTCGATTTATTATCCCGTGTTAAAACTCTGAAACCATTCTATAGACCGCTTAATTAACCCATGTGACCATTGAAGACCTTGTTGGCAAATATTTCAACGGTTTTACTAATGTCAATAGTAATGATTTTGGAAAAAATTGTTACCTTTCTTTACGAAGATTATATGGAAAGTAGACGAGATGTTAAATCCTTTAAGGTAATGTTGCCATTTATCGGCCACAATGTGTGTGCGCGAATTTAGTTTAATCAGATGAGGGGTGATGAACCAATTACTTTATTTCCTTCAATTTGTCACCCCTTTAGGGGTATCGAAATCATAATTCTGGAGGTGTTAAAGGCCCCTCGAGCATGATGACAAAGGCGACGTCTAATTCTCTTTGGTAAGTGTTTGCAAGGCGCATACTGAAGCATCTATAGGGCTAGGCCTAAAATTCAGTTCACCAAAAGTAGGTGCTTCTGATTTGAATGCACAAAAAGTTGGCTGGGATGGCTTCAAGATCATTTCGTGATTTGGACGAATTTCCCTCTATGATACCATGTGAATTTGGCTGGTTGCCAGAGAAGGAAACTGCTGGGACCAATCGACAAATACAAGTATTTTTATTTTCCTTGTAGCGTTTCTGATGTGCTGGTGTAAATAATTCAGTCCATTCACCGATATTTATTAATGCTAACACACTCAAACAGTGAGAGTTTCGTGCCTTTTATTTGGCTTCAAAGGCTACTTTGGCATTATTTATTATTTTAGAATAACGTCCTAACTCCAAAACACCTCCTCCAATTTCACCTGATAATGACTGATTTTCCCCTCTCTAATGCACACAATTAACGCTCAATGTGATCATGCGATTGACCATATTTCGTCTGACTTTGGTGGACTTTGGTGTGTGTGTGTGTGTGTGTGTGTGTGTGTGCTAAAACAACTGCCTTATTGGGAATGAGAGGATCCGTAACGTATCTGGATAATAAACCCCATTCACGAATAAAGGGGCATTCCTCTGTTTCGTCGCGTTCCATGAAAGATCGTTAATAAGGAAGGTGGGGAGGCGTTTCTGATCATTAATGCGGATTTGTCTCTCGCTGCGATGACTAGTGACGATATTATTAAACAAAAAGTGGTATTAACTTCGACATAGTGGTTGTAAAAATGCGAGAATAGGGTCGCTTGCACAGGGGGTAGAAAGAAAAGGGTCTTCGTTTGAAGTGCTAGGAGCAGAGTCGAATTCGTGTCGGTGTAGCGAACCTACAAAAAAGGCGACGATTTTTCCCTACCAGTTCACAACTTTAGGCTTATTGTTTAGAATTGCGCGTCTGGGTTTCTCAGAGGGGCTGATTCAGCCGGCGTTCTTAGATTCATTTTATCTTCACGTGAAATTCAC